CTTATTTTCACTTAGAGGAAAAGAAGAATCACAGTTTTTCTTCCCTGTCCTACATTTTTTAAAGAAAATGTTATGCATGTTATATGACGGAAGTGAGAGCTGTGATAGATTTAGGGCTGCTTTGTAAACCCTTAAATATATTCTCTGTGCTTGATCCTTATGAAAGATGTGTACTGACTGTGTTAGTATATCATTTCAATGTGATGACAGATTTAAATAACCATATTAAAGGCGAAAATAAGCACCTGAAGAATATACGCCTCATCTAGTTTTCAAAAAGGATGTTTAGTCTAGATGAAGCTGACTCTGAGCGTTGGATCCAAACATATCAGCTGAGACAACAAGAAGCATCTATGGATTACCCTTAAATATACTTAAAGCTAGGAGTGTGAGTGAAAGGGGAGAAAACTGAAAGCATGCCTGTCTCTGAGAGAAGGCAAGGAGCCTGAGAACAAAGGCACTTACTAGATCAGTGGTTGTTCTAGGGCAGGATAAAGCTAATTCTGAACTGGATTTGTTTATAATCTGCTTTCCTCCAATCATCATTGAACAATATTTAAAGAAAGTTGTTTGGAGATGCCAAAACAATGTTTACAGCTGGTAAGAATTCCTGGAGCTGTGCCCAGTTCTTTCTCTTGAACATGTACACTTACAGTGGTTTACAGCTGGTAAGAATTCCTGGAGCTGTGCCCAGTTCTTTCTCTTGAACATGTACACTTAAAGTGCAGGGCACTGCAGAGCAGATGTAACAGCAGAGGGCCCATCCCTGAGTGCACTCCTAAGTCTTGTCCTTGGTTTGGGCTCCCATCTGGGCTGGGGCACCCTGCTCTTGGCCTGAGCTGTGTTGTAGCTGGCTTGACTTGAGGCCTGACTTGTCACTCCACTTGATGGCAAAACCATTCCTGTCCCCAGCCCTGCTCTGTTTGCTTTGCTTGGATGCTGTGGGATGGTGTGTCATCTGGAAGGTCTCGTCTGGAAGGCTGACCTTCCTTCATGAAGGGGTCCCAGTTCTGCTGCTCTCTAATGGGGAAAGTCACTGATGTCACCTCATCTTTGAGTGCAGAGCTGGTAAAACGTGGATGTGGAGTTCAAAATAATGTAAACTTACGAAATGGTAATACAAAAGGAAGGTACACACCAAACTGGCTTGAGCTTATAGGAAAAGAAATGAGATGAAAGAGAGTGATTAAGATAAACAGAATGGAGTCAAGAAGAGGAGGGAGTGTAGGTGTAAAAGCCAATTAGCGTAGGTCTTGGGACATAACTGCGGAAATGTACAGCAGGAACATTTCACAAGGAAATTTCTGCTTGTGGTATGCAGAAACAGATGGGAGCAGACAGTGATGAGCAATTTTTCAAATTCTTTCTAAATTCAAAGAATTTAAAAAAATCTAATGGACTTATGAGGTGGGAGGGGAGGAATGGAACAGAAATAGTAGCTCGGAAGGGCTTATATATAAAAGTATGTAAGTACAGCTAGAGGATTGGGATGTGGGTGAATGTGCAGCAGAGGAAGAAGAACCGATGTGCTTACAGTTGGTGCGATTTTCATGTCAGAACAATCATATGGTGGCCCACTCTGGCTGCTGGCATTTCCTGTGCCTTTTCCCTAAGAAGATTCTCCATGCAGCAGCTCCCTGGAGAGTCTAGGGAAATGGCTCTACATGTGGAAAATGGAAGTGCCTGAAATTGACAGTGGGTATCCAGGGACCAAGGTGCTCACACTGGTTTGGACAAGTGAGGGGGAGTAGGATACAGAAATCTTGAGTATCAGAGCAAATGGAGAGGTTCCACATGAATGATGATGGCCAGAAAGCAATTTTTTTCATTATTTCTGCTTGTATTTTACTCTAGTAAAGAATATTGCTTTAAGTTTTGTCTCAATGGATGTGCTCCATTTTTAAGTGGACTTATGGCCTGGGATTGTGGAACTGAAAGAGTTAGGGACTCCTACATTTGTTTACTGCATAAATAGGTGCATCCTGCCACTATTGGTGCATGTTAGTTTCTCAGGGCCCTTGGAGGCAACTTGGCTTGTCTTGAGTTCCTGGAAGCCTCCCAAGCCTTAAATGCTGTTTCCTTCACACATGCCTAGTATCCATCCAAGACACCCCAGATATTGTTAAGGAAGGCCCACACTTGTTTTAATTCTCTTAATACTCATGTCAAAAACATGGGAAATAGATACATTCAGTCAGAAAGTGACTGGGTGAGACTGTGAACTCCTAAGAGAGAAACATGGGCTTGCCCTTGGTGCTCTGTGACAAGCTTAAGCCTAATTCGAGCTGCTCCTGGTAAGCAGCATCAGTTTGTATGTAAATGGTTTATGTTGTGTTTTTGGTCTCCCAAGAGGGTAAGCATCCCTGGAATGCTTTTAAACACAGGCCAGCTATTTTCTTGCCAGTAACCTCTCTCTGTGAGAGCAATGCAGTTTGCTTGCATCTGACAACAGAAAATGTCTTTTGCATTTAAAACAATTAAGTATTTCTGTGCTGTACTTTTACAATGTCTATCTGTTCTCTGTACTTGCTGCCCTTTGGGAATTCCTCTAACTCCATGGCTTCTTTCCTTCTCTCTCAGCCCACTGGTTGTAACAGGGAGACCTTTCATATTCTGGGACAGGCTGGGAGCTTCATGAGGACTGCAGTTGCCAGATCATGCTTAGGAGAAGATAGACTGAGAACATAGAATGAAGCAGTGGATCTGTCTCCAGGATTAAAAGAACCAGATGGAAAATCTATGGAAGGGATCTGGTATATGCATTGAGGAACTGTCAGATTTGCCCTGGGCTGACTGCAAAGTAGAGAAGCAGATTCCCAGCTTCACCTCTTCACCTGAACCAGCAATGATTGGATGAAATAGATGTGCTGTATGGAGCTGGAACAGTTTCAACACTCCCAGCCAAGATGAGCTCTCTTACAGAAGACATAATCTGTACAATCTCCCATGGTGGTATTTTAGGCTGTGTCCTTGTATCAGAAATGTTTTTAAGAAACAATACAACACTTGAAATTATATCTGCTGGATTACACCTTATTTTCCCCAATGTTTATACAATATACTATTGACAGGGCCACCTTCTCCATGGTTATGTATCACTATTCCCATGTTTCAAAAGCCAAGAACTGAAAACCCTCATGTCTGGTACTATGTAGATGAAATACCTGTGCCAGTGTACCTGGTTAAGAAAGGAAGTGCTGTAAAACTATTCTCAGATGTGTGAAGCCCATTTGCAGAGAACAGAAGGCAAGACAAATGCAGAAGTAACAGCACTGACAGTGGATTCCCCAAAATTGCAAAGATGGTATATGATATGTTCTTTAAACAATAGAAACCTTCAGAAATAATAGGTGGCAAAAGAATATTTGTTGCACTTATTATGTCAAGACAGACTGAACTGGCATTACCACTGGTCCTTTATTAGAGAACTTTACTTGCCTTCTTTCAGTGAAGTTCTCTCAAGCAACTCTGACTCCTTCCCTCATAGGCAGCTTCACACAGTACTGATTCCTTTTCTTACAGGCAGCTTCACACAGCCCTGACTCCTTCTCTCATCCCTAAAAGTTTCCTTCTATATGACTGGCTAAATCCCAACCTGGCCCTTACCCAGCCACCTAGCCCTATGTGTCCCTCACACAGCATCTTCTTATCTGTCCCTTGCATGACCGCATATCCCTTATCTCCTCACAGCACAGCCAGCAGACTCCATCCCAAATTCCTGCAGACTCTAGATCTCAAGCTCTAACTCGAACTGCAAATAGTGGCCAGCTAACTCACTCTTCTAGAACACCCAAACTCATTGGGCAGGCACAGATCTTTCCACTCCTCAGCAATCACTACAGCTGTAATTCATCAGGAGAGATTGGCTTCTGTACTATCCTTTCAACCTATCTTCCCACAAATATTGACGGCAAAATAAATCATAAAGGAGTTTCAGAGAAGGGAAAAATACTACATGACGGTAAAAAGTGAATTCTCTGTTTTTCCTCGTTAGGTTAACAGGCTTTGGAAGGATCCGAAGGTGCTATTTTTCCCTTAAGATTGCTACTGCATCATGTGCCTATACTGGGACAGAATAAAGGCCCATCGGAATTTACTAAATTCTGTGCTATTGTCCCGGACACCTTTTAAAATTAATTTTAATTTGTAACTTTGTCCCACGTCATCGGCATTGCACCGGCAGATGCTCCTGTGAAACATCGGTACTTCGCCAGCTACGCCAACTCTCCGTACCCTTCCACCCCTCCAATTCTCGCGTTGTTTCCCGGGCGCGGGTCGCACCCGCCCTGCCCCGTCCCCACCGTGGCCTGCCGCGGACGCACACACGGGACACGCAGCTCCCGCGCCACCTGACCAATGGCAGCCGCCAACACGTAGGCCAGGCCCGCGCGGGCTGGCCGCAGCCAATAGGCGCGCCCCATGCAAAACACCGCGCCGGGGAGACGCGGCTAATTGGCTCAGTCGCAAGGGCGGCGGGTCGCGCGCTGGTCCGGCGCCCGGTGCTGGCGGCGCAGCCACCGTGATGGGGCTCGCCAGCCCCGACACCGCCTTCTCCGGTACCCGGTGTGTACCGACTTGTGTCACAGGAGCGGCTAAGGCCGGGGCAGGGGGGAAAGTGCGTACCGAGGTGCCGTTTCGCTATCTCATTCATTAACAGAGCTCCTAAATTCACACACCCGAGTCCCCAAACCCGCCCCGCCGCCGTTTCTCGGGCGAGGGCGGGACTGGGGTCTCGCAGCCAGCGCGGGCTCCAGGGCCTCGGCAACAAAACGCGCGGGCCGGGAGCAGCCGCTGAGCATCCCCGCCCCGGCGCGCGAGAATCTCCCCACGCGCGCCCCTGGGCGCGGTGGGCGCGCATGCGCGGGGGGGGTGGGGGGGCACGGCGCGGGCCGGCAGAGTGGCGGCGGCGGCGGCGGCCGGGGCATGTCGGGCGCGCGGGGCGGTGGGCGCGTGGCCCCTCCCCTCGGCGAGCGCGCGGCAGCCGCTGCGGCGGCGGCCGCGGGAGGAGGTGGCGAGGAGGCGGCGCCTGTGTCGGCGCTGGAGGTTGTGTCCTTCCTGGGGAAGCTGCTGTGCGCAGTCGCGGCGCTGAAGGCGGCTCTGTACCTGCTCCGCAGAGTGTGCCTAGCGATGGCCTGGAAGTCGGGCGGCGCCAGCCACTCCGAGCTCATCCACAACCTCCGCAGTGAGTCCCGGGGTGGGGGCGCGGGCGGGCAGGGCCCCTGGGCTGCGGGGCGGCCGTTACCGGCCGCCCGGTGACCGTTAGCGACCGCGCGCTCCCGCGGCTCCCGCCCGACCCGCCGCCAACTGTCACAGGGAGCGGCACCGGCGCCCGGCCGCGCGTGTCAATGTTGCCTGTCCGTCCGTGTCTGTATGTGCGTGTCGCTGTGTCCGGCCGGGGGTGTGTCCGTGCGTGCCCGGGTGCTCGGGCGGGGGGTGTGTGTCCGGGCGGCGGCCGGTGTCGCAGGGCGGGCCGAGCTGTTGTTGCGGGAGGCAGTGCGGCGGGCGGGGTGGCGCCGATGGCGGTCCCGGAGGGGAAGCGCCGTGCGGCGGCCGTGGCTGTTCCCTACTCGCCGCGTCCCCCCCCTCGCCGGCCCCGTTCCCGCCGCCTCGTCCCCGTCTGCCTTGTGCCTTGAGCTGAGGCGAGGCCGCCGCGGCAGTACCGGAGGGCCCGTGATCCCCCGCACGCACCGGGATCGGCGTCCGTCTGGCTTCGCTCCGGCCGGCGGGAGTGGTGGTGTCGGCGGGCGCCCTCCGGTCTTTCAGGCCCGGGCTGAACAACGCAGCGGGAGCCGCCTGATTTGGGAAACGCGCCGAAGAGGCCGCGGCTGTTTGTGTTGGGTGAAAGGGGGCGTGTGGCGGCAGTCCCTCCTCCCCCCTCCCCGGCGGGGTCCAGAGCGGCTTTGCTGGAAGGGGTGGGCTGGGACCGCAGGGAGAGGACAGGACAGGAGAGGAGCTGTCGGCGTTGCGGACTCGTGCTGTGACAGCCGAGCTTTGCGATGTCTGCCTGGCACCCGGCGCTCCCTTGTGCTCACCGAGGGTTTGTGCTGTCCCCGTGCTGAACGTGGAAGGTGTCGGGAGGGCGCTTCTTCGCCGATGTACTTCAGTACATCCTGAAGTCTGCAGGTCCTGAGAGGACAGTACCTTCTGTATTCAGAGCTTCCATTTTTCAGAATAGAATTAACATCTCTTAAATATACTGACAGTGTCTCGTCTCTGCTCCTGGCCTTTTCCCCTCCTCTTCTCAAGTCTCTGTCCTAGATGTAAAAGGATGTAGATTTGGAGCCTGTATTATGGCAGTTGTCTTATTTCAGTGATGCTGCAAGACCACAGACAAGTTCAGCTGTGTGACCTCCTCGTTATTCTGGTGTCATAGGAGAATCACCCTTGTTTTCTCTTTCCGCTTTTTCTCTGCTTATCTGATACTGTGGTCTTTTCCAGTATTTTCTCTTGAGAAGTATCACATCCAGCAGAATAATACATGCTGAAGTGACTTTCAGTTTCCCTGTAAAAACTACTAATTGTTGTAGAGTTTCTCTGTTTTATAAATAGATAACTTATGTAGTTACAATTGTTGCCATGTTTTTTTTGTTTTGTTTTGTTCTGCAACTGAAAGGGCTAGAAATACTGTTTTAGTGAAATACTGTTCTCTTACGCAGCAAGGAAAAACTTTCTGACATAAAAATCAACATTAAGCTCCAAAATATATCCAAAAAGCAATTATTGCCAGAATAGTCTATGGCACTCAGAACCTGAAGGCAAAGCCAGTTTCTTTGTTGCAGAAGACAATGACAGTTTTTCAGCACATGGAAACTGTTTAGGGCATTGCAAATAATGATGACGAAGCTAAAAACCATTGTAGTTAGTATACAGCAATAGTTGTATAGGAAGAGGAAAGTAAAATAGAAGCCCTCAGTATTGTAATCTCAAAGTATACTGATGGTAATTTCCTGGAAAATTACAGTCTGTAATTTCCCCCACTCTGTTTTGCATATTCATGCCAAAATGTTTTAAGGGGTATTAAATAGGGAAATAGTGGATTGGCAGTAAAATATTGTGGAAGCACAGAGGCCTTTGATCTTGCAGCAAGATTGTGTTGTCACCTTCAGTGGGACTCTAGTCATGCTGTAAGGGCTTTATGAGTGCAGAGCAGTTACTGAATTAAGACCATACCTTTCAACTTAGATTTCCTCAGGTAAGATGATACCTTGTTGCTAAACTTGGGAACAGATTTAGAAGAAAGTACTGTTTAATGTGATACAATTCTCCCAGATGTGTTTTAACAAATTTAAAAATTACTGGTTATTAGAAAGACTAAAATGTTCCAGAGAATTCATTTGGAGTAAGAGATCTATCAATGTGTTTTCCCCTCTCTAAAAACAGCTACATAGCATTTACAGCATTTTATGCTAAAAGTAAGAATGCAAATTGAATATGGTTAATTTGATGTTGTCCAATGTTTGTCTTATGTGTAACTTAGTAAATGTGTGTGTAATGTAGTGTATATTTGGCATAACTTAAAGAAAATAATGCAGGTTGTAGTGACACAGTAAGTTTTCTTCTGCAGCAAATCCTGGTAGAGAGGCTCTTGCCCCTGCCTTTATGCTGCAATTCTCCCCTTACCTGTTCTTGTAGAATTGCTTGTGAGGGAGGCAGTGCTGCAAGACTGGGTCACTTTCTCATGACTTGTGAAACATCGAGATTTAAACTCCTCAATGTCTGTAAGCTGTTGTAATATGATGGTTAGAGAAGCAGTGAACTTGGTTGTGGGTAAATGAGGACTGGAGAGAATGGGAACTTATTAAAGTGGTTTTGCTTCTAAATAAAAACATCATTGGAAGATTCCTCTAAGCTACATGTTCTTTTCCTTTAAAACGGCTATAAAGATTATTCTTCATTATAAGCTGTTATTGACAATTACTAGTACTTCTATTTTGTGGCAATAAAGTTCTCCATTTCATGACATTCACTTCACTGCTCATTTCACTGTTGCCTTAACTATAGGATTAACTTTTCTGTAATGGTAACAATCATTGTGTTAGGGCTGTGACAAGTGATTTTTGATATTTGCAATGCAGATTTAGGCGATTCTTTATAGGCTTTATCTTTGCTGTCCTGTCTTAAAAGGGACAAACTAATAAAGAGGGCCCTGGAACTTGCATATTTTTCAGCACATGCTTAAGGACAAGTGACTGAAGAATGTTGCAGTACATTGTTTTGTTGTTTTGATTTTTAACTTGTTGCATTGTAAACATGTTTTTGCGCTGTTAATTTGAGGCGTCATAGATGCACAATTTGACATACACCAAATAAACTTATTTAAAACACACTCTTCACAATGAAAATGCTGTCCTTGGATGTGCTGTTGCTACGAGGTGTTCAGCTGCTTTGTTTCAGTGATTCTTCAAAGTACTTCTCATTTTTTAAAAGTGCCTTTGTTAATCTGAATGGTTCTTTCTTCATTAAAGTCTTAAAACAAATATTTTTCACCTTCACAGAGTAATTTAAATCTTTGTTTCTTCTTAACTGAAAATAGTGCCTTTTGAACATGTGCCTTCAAACTTGAGTAAACTTCCCCCTGAAATATATTTAAAGTAAGATCTTTTAGCAGACAACATTTCTAGGAAGCTCTAAATGTAGGTTACTGTAGGGTTAGAAATCATGCTAAAAACAGAAATTGTTGCCTTTGTTTAAATAAATAACTCTGTCAGGAGTTTTTTTTTTTAAATTATGAATCTGTCATATAGAGGTGCTGAGGAAGGAGGAAAAGAATTGGTGAGTTATTTACTGGTGTCCTGCTTGATTGAAAATATTTTGATTCTAAATCTGTAACTTTTTTCCCCTTTCTGTACCTTCAGCTCTCTACTGATAGGTCACTGTTAGATCATTTCAGTTTCTGTCTTTCATACTTGGGCTTTTTCCAAGTCCTTTTACTTTACATGCCAACATCTTAGAAATAAGTTTTTCTTTCCCACCTGAAAGACAGAAAAAGTGTTTCCCTGTCCAATTCACAAGCAATCAAAGTTCATTAAGTTTCCTTTTTGCTCCAGTCAGTGTCATGCTGCCCTATGACAAGCTTGCTTTGCTTATTTCTCTGATCATGTTGTGTCAATGGTGTTTCTCGAATCCACGTTTCTCAGTGAACGTGATGGTTAGTTAACCTGGGTGTGGCTGAAGTTGTTAACCATCTGTGGATTTGTTTCTTTCTACATTATTTTACCTTCCTCACCTAATAAACTTGTATTGCAAAAGTTAGCAATTCTAATTTACAAGATTCCATAGAATTTTGCACCTCGCATAGGATCAGATTCTTAATTTTTCAGCGTAAATGATGCTTCCAATCCGTATTTATTCATATATTATCAGGGTCTGGGAATTCTATTTTTAAACATGCTAAAGGTATTTCTCCAAGTGTTTTAATTATTTAGATGTTAAATAATTAAAAATGACATCTTGGCATGCTTCGTCATGATGAAGGCTTATCTGCAATGAATCTGCATCTTTGGTGCAGGTTTCTGGTTGCTGAGGACAAATCTCTTTGGGAACTGCCGTGAGTGGGAAAGCATTGGATATAGTAAGCCTAAGCTAGGTTCATCAAGCAGTAAACATTGGTTTTGTTTTATTTTTCCCTGTCATGTCTTTTCCCTTGGTTTATCCAAATCTCTTCTACATCTGTCTAATTTTGCTTAAGGAAGAGTAATGTAACTTGGATGAACATGAAGAAAGGAAATGATAATGGAAAATTAGACCAAATTTAATGGCTCCCCTGCACAAGCACTTACGCTGCTGCCTGTTATGTGCGTTCAGCGACCACCCTTTCCTTCATCATAAATGTATTGAGGCCTCAGTGTCTAAGCATTGTAACTTATGACCAGGTAGTGAAATGGTTACAAAGTGAACTATTTTTTCAGTTAAAAATTAACACATCCACTGATATGTTAACTTAAGAATATCTAAAATTTCTTAAATTTAGTTCATGTCTCAGGTGGCAGTCTTGAAATCTGTGATGCTATTTTTTGGAGCATTGAGATTTTTAAAAAAATTTGTTAGCAAGTAATTTGAATAATTGCCTAAAGGAGTTCCTGTGAAACTTCTTTATTTTTGAGTAAGATTTAAGTATTTCTTAATGATTTGCCCATACCAGTGAAATGTTTTGAAGGAATTTTGACACCCATGATCTTTTAA